ACAAATTGATCGACAATTATAATAAGTTTTGTCAACTGTTTTCATCTTTGAGATTCCTCAATATGGATAAATTAGTTGAAATTTCCAATGATTTTAAGAATAAAGCAAGATTTTATCCAAAAATGTAACTGATGTTTGTTTGGACGAGGAAAAGATTTTCTCGCAAAATTACGAAGCATTTAAAGTCATGAAAAAGCGATTGTTGGATTTACCACGTATCCCTTGCATTTCTTGCGAAAAATTATGCTTGAGAAGAGACGTTTCTAAGCTCGAGAAGCTGAGGAAAACAATAGACGGACCTTTTGGAAAGATCTGATAGCAAACGTAACAGAACACAGTAATAATACTGAATTCGTTGTAAGCTTTGTTTGGGTAAATTTCAAAAAGGTGTGTTGCCTTCTACTTGCATTTTGAATAATCTTGCGATAAAACCATTACCAGATGTTTTGTCAGATTTCAATGATTACGAAAAAATGTTAATCAAGAGAATGAGCAGCTTTCAAGTAGTGCAATTGATGAAAAAAAATAGATGAAATAAAACAATTAGTATATAAGGTTAAAAAATTTAAGTACACAGAGCACCGGAGTTTCTTGGATATACCAAAACTAAACGCTATTTGCGATCTCGATTCGAGATTCTAACGAACGAACGAAACCTAACGAGTTTCGTTTGCTCATTAGAATCTCAAATTGAGATCGCGAATTGCGTTTAGTTTTTGTATATTTAAGAAACACCGGTGCCTTGTGTGCACATAAAATTAAGTTTCGTAAAAATCTTAAATTTCAACGAAACTCACGCACTACCAACCGCGTATAGTCTCTGTATTGTCTCGTTTTTTACATATTTTAACAAATAATTACTTAGAATAAATTTTATATTAATGTACAAAGTAATTTTATATAAAATACTTAAAAAAATATTTTACAAATATATTCCACATTAATACATTGTTATACAAATATAATCTTTTGTAAAATTTTTATAATGCAACTTTTCATAATTTTAGATCAAACAATTGACTCATGTGACAAGTTAAGATGTAAAAACTTCTTCTTTACGGATAATGAAGAAATTGTTTTCTAATGAATTAGCAGTGCAATACAGTTGGTATGGAGCAAAAAAAAAGAAATTTTTTCGCAGCTAAATATCTGCAAAATAATCATGTGTAAGTAATAAATAATAAAAAGTATTTATGAATATAAATTTATATTACTTGTATTTTTTGTATTACTGTTAAATTAATTAAAATTATTTTATAAGTTGAATAAAGATAATATTATTCACATACAAATATCATTTTAATAATATTTAATATTATTTATTTTATTTAATGAAGCAAAAGAAATATATAAAAGTTGAACATTTTAAAAATTTTTTTAAAGTTTTATATTTTAATTATTCTAACAAATTAAATCTAAAATATATTTCTCTTCAATGTTATTAATAAAAAATTATTTTTTAAAATGTTTTTTTAGGTGTAATAAGAAAAGTACACAAAAATGCTACAGACGATCAAATTTCTAATCCCATAAAAATATGGTTAGCACACGCGAACGCTTTGTTATATCCCTCAAAGATATAACTATTAAGAAATAGCTACTCGTGTTACATCCGCTTGACGACGGACACTGACCGCGTAAAAACGCATACGCTGCGAGATATGCGCGGAACCGAAATTGCTCAACGTGCAAACAAAGCAGAAGGACTTTGAATCTGCTTCGCTTGCACCTAGGTCCTTGACCGAAGAGGCCCGTTGCTAGGCACCCCTTCCGATCAAGGAAATCCCCAAAAGCGATATTATAAAAGGAAGCAGAAACGCGCCGAATCGCTCAGTCGCAGTCGCAATAAGTCGCTCTCAAGACGCTCCCGCGTCGTTAGTTAAACGACCTCGCTAGCCGCGTGCGATATATAACATCCCTTCGCAGTTGCGCGCGATACGCGAAGTTATAGTTAAACAGTGTCGTTAAACCAATACACGCACAAGTGTAACAGTGGTGAAACAAATAAAAGTCAAGCGGTTTACTTGAATAAAAGTTTTAATAATAAAAAGTGGAGTGCGTTTATTTCAACAACCCGAAATAAGTCCCAACGCCCCGGATCCTCATCCTAATTTGGCGCGACCTTGTGTCTCACCCGAGGCACACAACAGCCTACAAAAGCAAATACCGATAAATATTTAATGTTTGTCTTTATATACATATTTATATATTTAATACAATAATTATTAGTCTTCCGCACACAACTTTTCTGGTAATGTTCCAATAGATAGTTTAATGATTTTTGGCTAATAATTGCTGGTTTTTTGCGTTATATAACTCTGCGTTAATAACTCTGTTTTAGCAATATGGTACAAACTGATGTGCAATGTCGATAGCAATTTGTGTTAAAATAACTTTTTTTATTTTCAATTTTAAGTTCTTTTCTTACAAATGTAAAATTTATTTTTTCAAATGATTAATTTCATTTTTTTTTGTTTTTTTGATTAATATTTTATTTTATTTTATTTTAATATCTCAAATATACAAGGTGTGCGCAACGGAAAGCAGGATAAGGAGGTCGAAAGCGAGAAGACAGAGAAGCACTGCACTTGACACACGCGTATCGTTAACAAAATATATTTAAACTATTAACACAAAAATACAATTATTTAAACCGCACAGAATGTACCAAAAGATAGCCGAGTCGCACGTATTAGAAAATACAATAACCGAGAGAAAAGCCGTGTTGAAAATAAAGTACTGAGTATCCGCAAGCAACGGTAATTAAACGTGAAAAAGACAAGCAATCTTTTTCGTAAAGTAGAAGCACACTCTTGACGCGACAAGCAATCGGAAAAGAGCGCTGCGGTCACGAGAGAGGAGGTTTATATAGGCCTGTATTTCTAGAATATTCGCGAATATTTTTCTTATTTTATCGTTCGGTTGAAGGCGAAAGAGCGTTTACTGTAATTATTTACTTTCCACCAAATCGTAGTTTTGTTATTATTGGGAACTAAATTGTATCTTCTCTCGCGCGACCGCGGTGTTTACAATTTAATGTGTTTTAATGTAAGCGCTTATTTTTCGTAGGCGCGGGGTATACTTATATCTTTGCGGCCGAGCGCTATTTATAATATGAAACGTCAGCATGTTAAGATAGAAATTGATAGACTGTATTATAATATAAATTATACGCATGCTGCGTGTGAAATGAGAGTACGGCATGAATTTGCATGCAATGTTTTAATTGTTTTTTCTTTCAGCTTTTTTAGACGTTCGATTTTCGAACATTCCGCCCGTCTTGCAGTATACCTGCAATCGACTTTATAGTGCGAGAGTGGGGGCGCGCGCTTATTCACGCGCTCGCAAATGACAGACACGTGTAGCTCACGTGCTCCGACTGATGTCGCGAAAGGAATGCTGAATCGATCAACTGTTTATTTTGAACGTGACGGTATAGACGCATATTGGTTAACGCGTCGCGAAGACCGTGACAATTTCGGTATTCGGATCTCTCGTGAATTATAATGATACGAATAGTGTAATGATGAGGATAGTGCAGTGATAAAGGAGATAACAGTAGGTCGGTGTGATGTAAGTGAAGTGGCGATGAAGAGGAATGAATAGAGCAGTGACAAAGAAGAGATGATTTTTGTGCTGCGATGAGAAAAGAGTGAGACTTATGACGCTGAATTATTGTGCAGTTTCGTTGCCGTCGCCCAGAAAAATCAGTTTGCTGACGGGGCGCGTTAAATTCGTACTCGCGGTACGGATTTCGACTACGCGCACGTGGCCGTTGGATCCGGGGTGCAATCGAGTGATTTGCGCAAGCAGCCACCGCGTTGGTGAAGTGTGTTCGCTGCGGAGCAAACACAGCCGACCGACGCGAGCCTCCTGGTTGACTCGGGACTATTTTGGCCGATGGGCCAGCGTGTGTGTAAGTATTCGCTGGCCCACCGGGACCAGAAATGGTCCCTCATCTGTTGCAGAAGCTGCCAGCGTGAAAGCCGGGACGGCTCTCGTTTGAGCGACGGTTCAGGTACGGCGGAGAGAGCGGAATCGATCAGGAAGTGACCTGGGGTAAGAGCTGCTACGTCCTCCGGGTCGTCGGACAAGGGCTGCAGAGGTCGAGAATTGAGGCAAGCTTCTATCTGAGAGAGCAGCGTCGCCAGCTCCTCATAGGTGAGGGTTGCATTACATATGATTCGTCGCAGGTGGTGCTTCATAGATTTGACGGCGGCTTCCCACAAGCCGCCGAAGTTCGGTGCCGTCGGTGGATTGAAGTGCCACCGGATTTTCTCCTGTGCGGCAAATGCGGCGATGCGGTGTCCGTCGGCACTGGCGGCGGAGAAGAGAGCGCCAAGCTGCCTGTCAGCACCCACGAAATTGGTACCGCAGTCACTATACAAGGAGGCGCAGACACCTCGCCTGGAGATGAGTCGGCGCAAGGCGGCTATGAAGGCGTCGGCGGAGTAGTCCGAGGCTGCGTCGAGGTGAACGGCAATGGAAGCTAAACAGACAAAGACTACAATGAACCCTTTAGTTGCTTTATGTTCGCGGCCCTTCGACGTTCTCTGCCAAACAGGTCCGGCGTAGTCGACGCCGGTGTGGAGAAACGGCCTGCTTGGCGTGACCCTTGGCACCAGGAGATCGCCCATGAGAAGCTGTGGGATGGCGGCTCGCCATCTTGTGCACCTACTGCATCGGCTGATGTGTCTCTTCACCAGCGAGCGACCTCGAGGGACCCAATACTCCTGGCGCAGGGAGCACAAGGTCAGCTGAGTCCCGCTGTGTAACGTCCGCTGGTGGTGGTCGTCGATGACGAGGTGAGTGTATGTCGACTCGCTGGGCAGTATTGGCGGATGAGTGGCATTGTACTGCAGGTGAGCGTTTCTGAGGCGCCGACGCGTAGAAGTCTCTCGCAGTCTAGGAATGGATTTAGTTTGTGCAGGGAGCTTCGCGACGGCAGAGGCGTTCCATTGCGCAGCCTTCTAATCTCGTTTTTAAATGTTCTAGCCTGGATCAACCTCACCCAGGAGATGCGGGCTTCCGTCAGTTCGTCGACGCTGATCACGCTAGACTGGCTTTGCGCATGGCGGAGCTGGCGATGGATCAGCAACCAGCGACGGCACCATGCAGTGATCCGCAGCAGTCGTTTCAGCGAAGAGTAGCGAAGCAGCAATTCCGATTCGGGCTTCAGCTCGGCAACGGCGGCGACGTGAGCACGGACTCGTCTCTCTGGGAGGTCCTCTGCTGACATCTCCTCGCTGTTGGTCGTCCAAGGACTGCTCTCCGCTGCTAGCCATACGGGACCTTGCCACCAGAGCGGGTGGTCAACCAGCTCGCTAGAATAGAGCCCCCGGGAAACACAGTCCGCTGGGTTTTTCCGACCTGGTACGTGATGCCAGTGGGTCCAGGATCAGTGTTTGTATTTTGCTGACCCGGTTGGCCACATAGATGGCCCACGTCGAGGGATGCCCACGGATCCAGCCGAGCGTGACGGTGAAATTAGACCACATATGAAGAGGTGTCTTGTCTGCTCCAATGATCGGTACGGTGTGGGCGGCTAGACAAGCCAGAAGAGTGGCGGCAGACAGCTCCAGCCGAGGTAAGGAGACTTGCTTCAAGAGCGCGACCTTGGTTTTCGCAGCTAAGAGAGCCACCTTAGTAATATCCTTTGTTTTGGTCTTCAGGTATAGCACAGCTGAGTAGGCACGCTCTGAGGCATCGGCGAACGTGGATCTTTCGCTGTGAGTCAGCCAAGCTTCCTAGCCATCGAGGTACGAGCAAGTTTTCCAGAGCAGGCAGCTCGCTCTGGAATTGTAGCCATCTCCTCTCTTCGTCGATTGGCAGCGGAGCGTCCCAATCGAGGCCTAGCAACCAGGTGGACTGGATGAAGATCTTAGCTAGTACTGTTGTTGGGGACAGCCAGCCGAGAGGGTCTAACATCTTTGCTGTCAGTGAAAGTACCGACCTTTTGGTGATGGTCGATAGATTGATCCGTTTGGTGGCGAAGGCGAAGCGATCGTTCCGGGGTAGCCAGCGTAACCCAAGAGTGGAGTGACTCTCGCCGGGCAGCCACCATCTGGCCTTTCGTTAAAGGCGGTCGTCGGGCCCCACTTGGTTCAGCAGTAGCGTGTGGTTTGCCGACCACTTCTTAAGCGAGAAGCCGCCCGCCTTGCAGATATCAATCAGCTGTTGTAGCATGACTTCGGCTTCCTTCATGGTCTCCGCACCGGTCAGGATGTCGTCCATGTAGACGTCGCTCAGCAGAATAATGACTCCTTTCGGGTAACGATGTTCTTCGTCCTCGGCCAGTTGACGTAAAGTACGGATTGCCAGATAAGGAGCACAGGATAGACCGTAAGTAACAGTATCCAGCCAGTATTCTTTAACTTGTTTAGTTCAGATTGATATAAAAAAGTTAGTTGCTTATTCATCTGTGTTCATATAAATTGTTAATATGTTCTATGTTAACATTAATAAAATTGGGATTTATTAGAGCATATATTATAATAATTTCTCATGGTCTATGTTCTTCTGGATTATTTTATATGGTAAATTTATATTATTAGCGTACTCATTTATTAACTTCATTTATTATATTTAAGTTATTTTTGATTAGTTTATTATTAAGATTTATAATAAGATTTATAAATTTAAGATTAATATTAGAATGAATAATATTTAATTTTAATTCTATTAATATAGAAATTTATATTTTGATGGATTGGGTTTCTTTATTATTATCAGAGTAGTTATATTAATTTCAAGAATAATTATATTATATTCAATAGTTTATATAGGTGAGGAAATTTTCTTAGATCGATTTATTAAATTAGTAATTTTATTTGTTTTGTCAATAGTTTTAATGGTAATTAGACCAAATTTAATTAGAATTTTATTTGGATGAGATGGATTAGGGTTGATTTCTTATTGTCTTGTAATTTTTTTCGAAATTATATTTCATTTAATTCTGGGATAGTTACAGTATTATGTAATCGTATAGGAGATATTGTGTATTAATATCTATTAGGATAACTGTTTATATACGCTTACGAAATGATCTTATTCATACAATTAAAAAAATTTTAATTTTATTTATGATTTTTTAGCTCGGAAAGATTTATGAATTTCTCGCACAAATATATTCGATGCGCTCCGCTACACAGCTACAGCGCCCAGCGACCGTTGACGTGGCCAACTTACGGGTGTATTTCTTTGAACTCCCAGTGCTCTGGACTCGCCTTTTCTTAACGATCTCGAACTCTCGATAGCGTTGACCCTTCCAGACTTCGGTCCGGGTCCCTTTGATATAGACCTTTCCTCGCTAATTGAATTGCCCAATCGATTGAGCATCCAAACGGTCGCTGCAAAAATTCAAATAGTAAATTGACTGACACCTCTCCTCTACCTTCTATACTCTCTTAGCGACGGCGAGTGGACCCATCCAGCTTCTTCTCGATCATGAAGAGCATCAAGGATTCTGCCCAAGACTAGCTCTCGGATTCCATTGATTTCAAAATGCGCAAATGATTTTGGAAATGGTTGACCAGCTCCTCGATTTCGACTGCTGACTCTTGACCGACCTTGGGTGCTTCAAACAAACAATGAATATGTCGCCGCTTCAATGCCTTTGGATCTTCGTAACGGTTCTTCAAAAGATTCCAAGCTATTTCATAGTTTTGCACCGAAATCTCAATAGACTCGATGATTTTTGCCGCACTGCCCGTTACTGCACCGCTAGATATTGGTGCTTTTGAACAGCCGATAATTCACTGTTGTGAATTAATGTGACGAAATTGTCGGAGAATCGTTTCCAATCTTCGATTTCTCCCGAGAACGTTGGCAACTTAATTGTCGGCAGCTTTACCTTGTTCTCATTGTGCGCACTTGCACTCAACGCTCGGATCACCTCTGTCTATTGTTCCAACACGTGCGCGAGCGACTCGTTGCTGCCACTCGCACTCACAGCAGGCTTGAGCGCAGCCTTCCATTTCGATAGCGTCGCCTTCAATTCTATATATCGATCCTCGAAAGTATCGTCCTCCTTCTGATCATCGGCTTGTAGATCTTCTTCTTCAATTGTGCATACTAGCTTTCGTTGTAACTCATTAAAATTGTTGTACGCCTGTTCTAGCTTCTCCAGGTGTACAGTAATTGTCTTAATGTTCGCTGCTATTCTCTTATTAACGACATTCTCGACGTATTTCCATGTCTTTGTCACCTTGGCCTTGACATATCCTCGTTGTCGACGCAACTCCTGTGCACTCATTGTACTAGATTGATTGCTCACAAATCCGGCTCGAAGGACCAATGTACGGGTTTGTAATGGATAATAGAATCGTTTGCTCCAACAATACTTTAATAATCACAAATAATACATTGCTTTCGTTCTTCTTCGTCGTTTGAGTACGACGGCTGTCGCCTAACTATATATGTCTGTTCAAAAGACGATAGACAAATTGACTCTACATCTAATCGCTACGACGGTTACTAAAAAACTCTTTCTACATCGTCTCGGTACGAACGCTAAACTGTGTCTGCCCGTGAGTCCCCAAATTTAGCATACGTTCCATGACCTCTCGCTTGGTCACGTTGTTGTCATGGCTGGCTCACGTGCTTTCTTATTGTGAGCCTCGACAATAGAATTGATTACAAAACAAAACAGTCAATACAATAATGCACTGAAAGTTTATTTAGATGCACAACGAAAACTTGAGATAATACAAGTAAAAGATAGAGAAAATCATGATAACGACTGAAAGCGCGATATTACTCGTACGAATGTTGATCGAAGACAAAGATTTTTAAACAAACACGATAAAGTCGAATTTATTCGGTACACACAGTAGGTCGACGATTTAAGTCAGCTGATTTTCGCTATGAAGGTAGAGTAAGAAGCGCGTGCGGTAAGACGCGTGAGACAAGAAAAACCGCTTAAATACAGCAAAAAGATACATCGGCGATGCGGTGATTTCGAATGAATGCTATATATAGAATACAATACCGAGAATATAAGAAAGATTACAATAAAAAACTTAGCGAAATGAGATAATAATTTTATCACTTAAAAGATTATATATGTATAATATTAAAGAAATAATGAGAATCAAATAAATTTAAGAAATTGAAATTGAATTATTAACAAACAGAACTTTTTACATCTATTTTTTTAGAATTATAATTATTATATATAACATCTTCATCTCCATCTCGGCCAATAGAGCCAAACGCGATGTTATTGTGAAAATTTAAGAAACTTAGGAATTCATATCTTATGGTTAAGATCTCAAAGTTCCCCTTGTTCCTATTTTAACCCCCCTGTAAAAAATAGGCGATAAAAATATTGGTCCGAAAGTCGGCTGAATCGGAAATCAAACCCGAGATCTTTCGTTTGCTGGACTGCTGAGCTATTCAGACACTTACGAAACAATACTTTTCTCAATGCTTTCACCCCAAAGCGTCGTAATAATAGGCCCAGACGCAAAGAAACAATATTAAGAATATTTGAAGGAGCAGTCGCCTGGCAAGCGAAAGGTCTCGGATTCGATTCCCGATTCAGCCGACTTTTGTACCAATATTTTTCTTGCCAGGGTTAAAACACGAAGAAGGAAAATTTTGAGATCGAAACCATAAGATACGAATTCCTAAGTTTTTTAATTTTTTGCAATAACATTGCATTTGGCTCTATTGGCCAAGATGGAGCTGGAGATATTATGTATTTATTTCAGAGATCCGACTAAATATTCTTAATATTATAATTATTATATTATACAGTTAAATTATATTGTATAAAAAAAAAAAATTTTTTTCGATCAGTTTTTTACAGTAATGTAAAAACACTGTTTCTATATAACATTTTTTCACATGGTGCGTGGACTTGGCGCCACTTTTTAATTCTTTTTAATAGGTAAAAACATGTGCTATTGAGTTGTTATCATATGCTAACGGGACCCTCTCAATTTCTTATACAAATCGATTTCGTACAACATTTATTATAAAAAGTTATAAAAGTAGCATGATCAACAAGAGAATGGTTTTTACGAAATTATTTTATAAAGATATCAGGGAATCAATTGACCAATACTGGCTAAGGTGAATAATCTTTTATTGAAAAAGACGCAACGTTTCGATCCCGAATTGGATCCTCTTCAGGCTACAAATTAAATTATAAATCTCAGTAAAAAATGACAATACAAAACAAATACGGAAAATCATAAATATAAGTGTTAAAAAATATCTGTTACAAGAAAGTGGTAAAAACTAAATGATCATAATGTCAATTTCCTGTCTACGATTAGAACATGACAAGATATCAATAATAAATTTGGGGTTGAAACGTTGCGTCTTTTTCAATAAAAGATTATTCACCTTAGCCAGTATTGGTCAATTGATTCTCTGATATCTTTATTTCAATATTTCAATTGGCAATTGGATTATTTTTTGGAAATATTTTATATTTAAATTTATACTTAAATTATAATTTAAGTTCGACATAATTTTACATAAACAAAATATCGTTTTTCATTGATCTTACATTAATAATTTTATGCACAAAAAAACAAAGGAATAAATGGATGTAAAGAAACATAATTGTTTGCAAGAAAAAGTATGAGCAGCTAATTATAAACTGTGTTGTCCAATAATATGAAAATAAAGTAATAACAAATAACTGCTAAAAATGAATTTGTTATATTATACATACGTTATTATACGGATATTTTATATAAATCTTTTATTACATATTTTACGCATAATTAATAAGAATGCAGAATTATTTTGCGATCTGGAGGCAATTTTTCGAGTATAAGAGTATCTTCTGCAGAGTGTATCTGACCGGTATTAATTCTATTTTGTGTGTGACTCTTAAAGAGAGACATGTGTAACAGTAGAAGTGGAAGAAATGATTTTTAACAAAACCAGAATGTTTTCAGGAATTTAAAAGACAATTTCTTAAGTATAAGAGATGTTTTCAGATTAATGTATCAAAATTTTATGTATTATATTCTATGCTATATTACATTGCTATATTATATTGCTATATTATTCTGCATATTTATATTGTATTTATAT